AAACAGAGTAAGCTATTATAAATCTCTCTTGTGATATTGTTGTAATACTATGTTTAATACCATTTGAGATTCTTTTAAAAATTTCTGATGACTTATCCATTCATTCAAATTAGAGGCCACCCAGCTCTGGACATCTTATGGCAATATAAGCAAGGGATACTTTAAAGCACTGAAAACAAATTTAATGCATGTCTGGGAAAAAGATAGCTATCTAATTCAACAACTTTAAACGAGCTCAACATTACTGTACCCCCAAGCATGGGGGAATAGTCGAGTTTTCAATCAAGGTGGAAACAAGGGGATGCAGATCCAGAGGGGGAGGTGCTATAACAGAGAAGGCACGCTTCCTAGGTCCCCATAGACGGCATTGTTTGAGTGAAGGGATCTGAAAGGCAAGAGGGACAGTACTTCAGATAGTCATCAGACCATGTTCCCATGAAGGGCTTTATAGGTGGTGACCATTTGCTCAAATTGTACCTCATTCAGTGGTTTCCTACAGATTATAAATAGAAGGGGCAAGAGCATCAGGCTCTAAGGCACCCCAATGTGAAAGGCTTCTGTGTTTGGCCTCTCCTCCCCTGTCAGAACCAACTGGAATCATCCCCAGAGAAAGGAGAAACCCCCTTTCTCCCTCCCTCTCTAAATCTCCACATTTAGTTAAGTAGGATACCATAATTAATGCAACAGAAGAATCACAGAGAGCTAGAAGGAATGTGTGTGCGCGCATGCACACGCACACGCACACACATCCTGCCTGCCATTCCCAGAAATCACCAGCAGGCATGATCAATGCTATCTCTGTACTATGCCCTGATCTAAAACCTGACTGAAAGGGATCCAGATGATCCACTTTTTTCCAGAGTCCTCTGGATCCCTCCTCAACAACTTTTCCTTAAAAAGGTTAAGACTGGACAGAAATCAAACTACATGTCGCCTCTCAGAGAGAGCCAGTACAACATAGGAAAGATATGGATAAAAGTCAAAGGTTTAAATTCTTCCCAAGTACACTCGCAATACTGTGCCCTAGTACAGTTTTCAGACTTAGCATTTCTTAGTGGTCTCCCATCTTAAGTTTCTGAGCTCTGATTAGGAAGGTGCAGTTACCTGTAAGAGTATATCCCTTTAAACAACTTAAACTACTGTATCTTTAAGTAGTGATCATGTAAGAGTTTTGGTATATGGTAAATTAAACATTAGTCTTGCTGCCTAATTGGTTTTTGCAGACCACATTAAAATGGGCCTGGGGATGCCAAATTTACAGAAATTTAATGGTTAAATTAATGTGTGAATTATGTAAATGTGAACCCAACAAATATATGTCTTCCTGAAACCTAACCTTGTGGAATTTATTGATTTAATTGTGCCTTAGTCTTATCTCCTAGCAACTACATGGGCAAGTCTATGCAGTTCTTCATTTTTGGAAATATTTTTCCTTCTTTTCTTCTTCCTAGGGTTGAGACCAAATAATTGATCCCAAATCACCCAGTTGCTTCCCTGTTTAAAGCAAGACTAGAAATCCGCAATGCTTTTAGCAATTGCACCGCACTGGCTCTCATCTTTGTTGTTTCCTTTATCTAGACTCCTACTGAGGAAGGTGGTATTCTACCTTCATCACTGGACTGCTATCTTTAGGCCTTGAAACCTGTATGTTATTTTACTTCACAATCTATTAGAAGCTTGATTGATCAATCCATGCTTACGTTTGTTAGTCCGTACCATTTTTCCTGTCAGTTGGTTACTTAGATTATAAATATGAAAAAAATAGCACTTACCCTTTTTCGGTGTAAACAGGAACAGAGTGAGCAATTGGACAGTTTTGAAAACTGCCCCCAAAACTGAAAGTTTATTTGAAAAAAATTGGGAGTGGTGATATTCAGAAATAATCTGAAATGGCAGCTAATTGTGATGCACAAAGAACCAGGTCCAAAGGTGAAGAGTTCAAATTTACTGATTTATTCCTTGCATAGGAATCTTCTCAAATGGTTTTCCCCCTGGTTAAAGCTAAGACTAAACGGATTCATTGTTTGACTCCTTCCCTTGGCTCTGCTAATCTCCTACATCACCCCTTCCTCAAAACAGCCCTCCCTTTCTTTCATAGGATCTTCAGAACAGCCCTCCTTCTTCAGTGGCCTCTTCCTCATCTGAGTTCTCACAGGAAGTTGGGAGGGGAGGAAGCAAAGCCATTTCAAAGAAGATCTCCTCCCCCTCATCTAAAGAATACTTTGAAGCAGGTGATGCTAGCTGTAAAACATCTAGATGACTAGCAGATTTCTCCTCCTTTCCCTCCGGAAGTGAAGGCCAGAACTGGATGGTTGGACTGTCCAGTGTCCCATTGGGGCTATGCACTCAGTCTAGTTATCCCTTCGCTTACAGATTCTTTGTGCGATGCAGGGCAGAGAGCTGGGAGTTTGGAAGTTTGTGGCTTTTCAGAGAAGTATTGGTGGAATTGCTGCACCAAGTCAGGGACATGGACATATTCTCCTCCACATTTGGATTCTGGGTACCCCTTCCACTGAATCAAATACTGTGTGCTTTTGCCACTTTGCCTAGAGTCCAGAATTTCATCTATTACGTATTCCTCCTCCCCTTCCATAATTACTGGCAATGGCGTTGGGCACGATGAGCATAAGATTCTAGGAGGTTTTTGCTTGATGAGCAGCAAATGGTGGAAAACTGGATGGACTTTCATGGCAATTGCAATTGCAAATGAAAGGCCACAGGATTGATCTGCTGGAGGACCGTAAATGCCCTCTGAACTTGATATCCAGCTTCTTAGAAGGTCTAGGAGAAACAAAGAATTTGACAGAGCCACACTTTCTCTCCTTTATATCAATGGGAATCTGCAGTCTTCTTGTCAGACTGTTTGTCTGTTCCAGCTGCTGTTGCAATGGTATTTAAGTAGTCAGCTGTTCCTGCAAAATAATTCACTGCCCCTGGGATGGTTCCTCCTCCCTTGAAACCACTGATAAAACCCTTGGGTGTCTACCATGCTGAGTTTGAAAGGGGATCATAGTAATCAATGTGTGCAGAGCATTATTGTAGGAAAATTCTGCTAGGAGAAGCAATGAAGGCCAGTTACCTTGAATGCAGGTAGAATAACCTCTACCTCTAGACTTAACCTCTAAGTATTGCTGGAGCATCTGGTTAGTTTTCTCAGCCTTACCATTCATGACGGGGTGATTGAGGACAAGCTAACCTGGAGATTCAAAAGTTGTAACAATGCCTTCCAGAACCTGGAAGTAAATTGACTGCCCCAGTCTTAATACCAGTATGGAAACCATGTGATTGAAAAAGAATTGAGATGTTTCTTTGATAGTGAGCAAACATTTGGAAGGCATGAAATGAGCCATTTTGGTAAAAAATTCCACTACAGCTAGTATAGATATATAGCTATCGACCAGAGGTGTTCATGGCTATATATCTATACTAGTTGTAGTGGAACTTTTTACCAAAATGGCTCATTCTTATAACTCAATAAAATGTTAAACTGGAAAGAAATAGTATGCTAAAGATGGTGGGGGGAGGGTTGGGAGCGGTTGTAAGAGGCCTTCTGGCTTCTGATGATGGTAACTGTAATTATAATCTGGCTCAGAGAAAGGCTATTAGAATTTCTTTCCTGTCCCTCACTGAGAAGTTTTGGCAGGATTGCTACTCCAATCCATCCCCATTTTCTTCAGTCCAGCCCAATGGAATATTGAAAATCAATTATTTGAATGGGCTCAAGACTGCCAGCAAGGTAATTCAAGTTGGTGTAGGGGAAGAAGCCAACAACAACAGAAAGATCAGGTACAGAAATGGGCTAGGTAAAAAAAAAAAAAAAAAATCAAGGGGAAAAAAATTATCCATTACCGTATATCCATCCATGTTGGAAAAACAGTTTGATTGTGGACTGGAATGTTGCCCACTCCTCCATTCTAAGGCCTCCTTTCTTCTCAGGCACATGATCCAGAATGGAGCTCCTATTAAAAGGGCTGGTAAGAGTTCCAGAAGCTGTATTTTGTATGTAGCTTCTGTCTTGTTTCTTCTTTTTTACTTCAACAGAGATGTTTCTATATGCCAGGAGTTGCTTAAAGTCCTTTTCTGAATACTATGTAGTTATAATCATGAGGAAAATGTTACTGTTTTGAAACATATTTCTGTTTAACTGTATTTGTTGCTTCAACTTCAATATCTATTAAAGCCTTTAACCAAGCTGCAGTTTTAAAATAAAATATATAAGAAAAGCTAGAACAAGTAATAATTTAGTTCAAACCATTTTTTTGGTGTGCATCAAGACTCAAAGTCTTCCTTCTAAGTTGGGCAGAGAAGGGGCCAAGACAATGAGCATGATCAATATTAAAAGTATTCATTGAAGGGTCCAACTTCTCTCCAGCACCCTAATTATTTTTAATCCAAATAAGAGGAATTGATTGTTGATACTTTATCTTTTTGGTAGAGGAGAAGAAAGAATTTTCAAATGTTTTTATATTAGCTTTGAAATCAGAGCTTGTAAAAGAGGTTATTTATTATGATCTTGCATCCTAGGTGCTTTATGAAAATTAATCACATGCATTTTTATTATGCAGGCTTTTTTCTCTACTTGTCAGAGGAAGAACAAAGAGACTAACTTTTCAGGGACATAGGTTTGTAGGATTTCAGTTGCTCTTGCCTACATGGTGCTAAATACTAGATCCTGGCCGAAATTCCTGTTTTTTTTTAAATTGAAGTTTTCATAATGTTTTTTCTGGTATTAATAATCTAAAATTCCTTAAATCTTATTCCATCTTCCCCAAATTACTGGCTAGACCAAGTCAGATGCCTTCCCTTGTCCAAGATTAATCAGTCTAAATGAAGAAGATATTAATGTTTTATATCTATCCCAAATTATGTAACAAGGGGGAAGCCTTCTGAAAAAGTATATGAACCCACATCTAAGGTCATAATAAAGGAATAGAAAATGTACAGATAAAAATAAATACTATAAAGTCAGAAATGCTCATTGGTTCATTTTTTTCTTTCAGGTTCATGTTGGGAAAAGGTTTGAAACGCAAGTTGAATGATTATGAAGAGAACATGGCTGGTGTGTCAAGTGCCTTTGATTCCAGTCGAAACCTGCCATACCCACTCAAGCGTCAGTTGGTGCTCAATGTTTGCCTTGCCAAGTTACAGACATATAAGATGCTGGTGGAACCAAATTTACATCGTTCTGTCCTTATAGCCAATACTGTCAGACAAATCCAAGAAGAGATGAGGCAAGAAACTAGCCAACAGTCTGTTAACATGTGGGGTGGTTTAAGTACTACCCCTTCCAATTATTTAGGTTTTGATTTCTTTGGAATGCCTTCACACTTTTTGCCTGGTATTATTCAACAGGAATCATATGGTTATGAACCACGGTCTATGGAAAGTCCAATTGAAAATAGCTTGTTGATGGTTTCAGATAATGACATGTCATCAGCCATTTCCTCTATTCTAAAAGATTTGGACTTCATGGAAGATGTGAGTCCGCCTTCTTACTTGGCTGGATCTGGAGATGATCAATTGAAGACCTCTGAAATGTCAGTTCTTAAGTTAGAAGAAGATAGACAAGACTTGAAAGGAGTTGAATGTGCATTTGGTTCCTTTGAAATTTCAAATTCAACTAGTTACTTGAAGGACTTGGCTATTGATGACATATTTGAAGATATTGACACTTCAATGTATGATTCAGACTTTGATTGCCCCTCACCAACTCCTCCAAGAACCCTGTCTGTGGCAACAACAGAAGAAACGTTGAAGACATTCCCTTCTTGTAATTCTTCCTCAGCAAACAACATCCCAATATGCAGAAGTGATATCACTGATTTAGACCATATTATGGAAATTCTTGTAGGGTCCTGACACCTTTGCTAGCCCAAAGATGCGTTTTCCTAAGCTGCCATACAATGCTGGTTTGAAGATAAGTCCCAGAGGAGAGTGAACTTCAAAATGTTACGCCAGAAAGGCAGCTACAGACATTTTTCTTTAATGGTTCTGAAAACCTCCCTAAAATTCCTATAAACCAAAAAAAAAAAGTGGCAGCCTGTCATATAAAATGAAGTATTTATTAAATCAATTGTGCAATCTTTTTAACTCTTTTAGGCTATACATGAGGAGTATTTCTCGTGTGTTTCTAACTTTTTAATGTGCAATTTTTAATCTGTGTGAAGGATTTGCAGAACAGTGATTTTCATAAGGGGAAACATCATCTGAAGTCTAAAGATTTATTTTTAGTATTAAACTACATTCTTTATTGGCATTCACTGAAGTTGTATACATGGATTTGCAACCTCAGTACAGTATATTTTTAAAGTATTTAAGGAACTACAGATCTCTTCCCCTTTATTGAAGATTCTAGATACTTGGCAGCAAAATCTTTTGCATTTTGTAAAACGTTTAAAATTATTTATTTTTGTAAATTTTATAGTCTTTTTACATTTTATTACAATATTCTAGATCGGAGATGAATTTCTGGTTGGATGTGGCTGGCACTACCTCTGTTAGCAGAAATGCTTTAATTCTTTGCTTTGTCTAACACTGCAGATCTTTTAGTTTTCTTGGATATTTCTGGTGGTAGATAGCAATTTGCTGATTGGTTAAATTTTATGGTATTTAACTGTAATTTATATGTATATTGTCCCAATTTTAGAACTTTGTCAGTGTTACGTGCATCAATTTGGAGGTAATATGGCTTTTTACAATTTAGTATTTTCTGTATAGTTAGAGCTATTTTAATTCTCTGAAACAGAGTTTTAGATTTTATGTGCAATATATCACTTAAGCAGGCCACTTTTGCACATGCTGTATTACAAGAAAATACATACAATCTAGATGATGGAAATTTATAATAGTGTGTTATCGGAGGTATACCATGCATGTACGAGATTTGTAAGAGTTGAATATGGCTTGCCTAAGCACTGCTCTGATTTTGTACATCTCTTTTTCTCAAAATGGAACTTTAGTTGTCCAAAATGCTTGCAATGGATTGTATCTTCTTAGTGGCAGTTTTTAATCTTGGTTTGGCCAAATAAAGGTCTAATTGAGTAGAAGTCCAGCCAATCATGCTGCCATTTGAGAGTTAGTAGTCTGCCTATATAAGAATTATACTTCAAATTAAAGAAATTGGGTTTTTGCCACATCACAAGATAGGTTTGACATTTGCACATAATATACTGAAGTGTTCAGTTCATTGTGTACAAAGCATGTCCTAGTCCAGTTCTGGTGCTACTTGGCAGGCTGTCTCAGTGCTGGCACCATTTGGGGACAGTTCTGCATTGCCAACACGTTGACATTCCAACCACAAGCCTGTACTGTTCCATGGTCATAGAAGCAGCATCTGCTCCCTTCTTATTGAAGACACATGGCCACTCTATGTTCTAGCATTGCATCCTTGAGGAGTCCAGTTAAGTTTGAAAATATTACAATAAACCACTTATCAAGCAAGCAACACAACAGATGTAGATAAGTTTAAAAAATGGAGGGAAGAACAGAGAAAAACATTGCCATTCTATCTGCTACCAGATAGACTTTTATGTGTGTGTCTATCCACCTACTCCTCATTGCTTCCAATTAAGCTAGCAAATTTAACTTGGAAGTTTGCTATATTGAAAGCAAAACATCCAAACTTGGTTGCATATTCATAACAGCTGACGGTTTTTGTTTAACAAGACAGCGGAAAAAGATGCCTACCTTTGAAAACACTAATATTTGTAAGTAAGTTTTCTAGGAGGATGGGAGATACATTTTAAAATTGAACTATAGAATACACATTGGCTAATTTTCATCTGAATTGCAGTTGAAACCGTTTATAGTATGGCCATTTTCTGATGGTAAAATCTTGGCACGGAGATTATCTTGGACACCATAAAATAATATATTGGAGCTAACTCTCCAAAGGAGCATCTCATTATTGCAGAACAGTAGCTGCACCAATATCACCTTTCATTTCCATCTCCCATTTTTTGTGGTGTTGGAACCAATCCACTACTCAACTTGAAGTGCAATGAGATTCAAGTCATCTGATGTAGTTGCTGCGTTATATGTAGCATTGCATTTAAGGAATGAAAAGGTGCTTCTCTGCATTCATAAGAGTAGTGATCATCAGGATGTAACTCTGGCTATTGTTCACTATCCTATATCAATCTTGTTTTTCTATTTCTCTTCATTCTTTCCATTTCACCGTACAAAAGGAATCCTCCAAACATTAGTGGAGCATTAAGATTTTGCCTTATGTTTAATCTTCGGCAAGCATCAAGTGCAGTCTTTTGTTGAAAACCCATTCTTTTAATTAGTACCGGTTCTTTACCTTGGACCCAACATGAGTCAAGATGAAGCTGGATTCTATAACTAATGCTAAATCAATCCAATTTTATTTACTTAATGCATATTTTGGCAGTAAAAATGTATTTATATACATAAAAGATTTGCAGTTACATCTAAATCATAGCACGCCCTTTTGCAAAATGTTTTCTATCTTTTATGTAAAAAGGATTAGATAAAAAGAATGTATAGTTTGTACATAATGCATTTTTGTATATAGAAAATTAATCTAAAAATGGGAAGGGCCCTCTGCACTGTGATAAAGCAGACTAGTGGCTACAATTTTTTAAAAATACCCTTATTAAACATTCAGATCTAATTGATTGTCATCTACAGTTCTTAAGCTTAACGATACAATTAAATATCTAAGCTGCACAAGCAATGTACCAGTGGTAGAAACATGTAGATTGGCTGCCAATTGTTGATTAGGCATCTCAAAAGGAGTTCTGATTTGAAATAAGGATTAGTCTCACAAGCTTTCCTGGAAGGTAAAGATGTTCATTCTTCTTTAATCATGATTTGATAACCTTCTCATCTTCAAAATACACCCCAGAGTGGTTTCCAATCTTACCTGAAAAAGTTGGCAGAAATCATTCTTGAGCATCAAACAGCAATGCCCATAAGCATTGTGTTTTTCACTTTATCAGGACATAGAAGACCTTTGGTCAACTTCTAGCTTCAAAAAAGGAAAGAGGCCCCACTTAATTTGAAAGTTGTATTTCATTTGTGAAATGGGTAGTCCTCGGGTTACAACACAAATAAACCTGGAATTTCCATCACTAAAGCAGCCAAAGTTTAATCTTACATGACTGCATTGCTTAGCAATGGCAATCCTGGCAGCCACTGTAACCCAGAACCGTGCAGTTTGTTATGTGGTAAAAGCTGGGAATCACAGGTAAGGAGTGTAGGGAGATGCTGTGGGTAGGGATAGTAGAGCTTCCCCATCCCTGCGGATTTTCCTTTCCTTCAACTTTGCTTGTGGAAGCCAGCAGGGAAAGTCCCAAATTATGATCATGTGATTGCAGCTTCCTACAACATAGGAGCTGAGCCTCCAGGAGTTCAGGGGTGGGATTGAACCGGTGTTACTACCAGTTCGGTGATTACGTTTTGCTGCGCACGTGTGTAATAAACTATAAGCTGTGCCGCCCGGACAGCTGAAAAGCGCTGCGCACAGGTGCGCAGCGTTTGAAAAGCCACTTTTTTACTGCTTTTTCAACCTCAGCTTTGCTGTGCAAAGCAGCTGAGGTTGAAAAAGCAGGAAATAAAGGACAGGTAAGAGCCCGGGAGGGCGGGCAGGCCAAACAGCAGCAAACACAGAACCGGTTTGGTGTCTGCTGCTCTTCAGAGCTACCGGTTCTACAGAGCCGGGCAGAACCGGTTGCATCCCATCCATGCAGGAGTTGATCACATAACTCTCAGGATGCTGTGAAGATCACAACTTTGCACACTGGCCTTAAGTCCCCCTCTTTAGCACATCATAATTTTAATTCACCACCTAGGAGCTTGCATTAGAGCAAGCAAGAAAAAAAAAACTTTAAAAAGAGTAGGATGTTATTTTAAGCAACAAACTAGCAGCAAGAACGTGCATTGGCTGTCAGAGTAGTTGACTGACCATCTTAGGACAAATGATTTCCTTTAACATGTCAAACATGTTCATGGTAGAACTTTTACTTCTGATTTCAAGTTGTGCAAGATAAAATTTGTTACTTTATTTGATAATGGTTGACATGAGTTTATATTCATTCCAACTATCCGTTGCACACAAATTTTATGTACAAGTTGTGAACAGTAAGCTTATGCTAGACTACATGCAGAAATTCCTTATCTAAGCCTCAGGTTTCCAGTTAACACTCCCTATTTGGGTGCTAAAGAATGGGTTGTTTTAAATCTGAGCTAGTACAAAGCCACTTGGGGAGATCGGCTTATTTATTTAAAAGGGTTGTATGGCTGCCCATTCTTAGTGCACAAATCTGGGTTCCTCACAATAATAAAATTGCAAACTAAAAAAACCTGTTGCCTTGAGCATCTCCTAGCACTTAAGACTTATATGCCACTCCCCAGTGCTTTGCAGCACTCTGAACAGTATACAAATGCCAGCATATTGTCCCCAACAATATGTTACTGACATCAGAAGGATGGAAGGCTGAGACAACCATGAGACAGTCAAGATTGAACTCCTGGCAGAGGGCAGAGTTAATCTGCAATACTGCATTCTGACCACTGCGCCACCAGGGCTCCCAATATTGTGGTTTTCCCAACAGCCATCCATAAGCAACATTGGACCATAATGCCTGGGTAAAGAGCCAAGTCTTGATGGCCTTCCAGAAGGCTAAACGGGTGGGAGCCTGCCTGCCACAAGGGAGAAGCATATGTGGGAAATTGTTCTAGATCCTTCAACTGTAAATGGTGGCATTTAGGAGAAGCCCACTCTACCCAGTAGGATGGGCATACAGGGCTTTATAATGGAAACCAATGCAGCTCAGGCAATGGTGTAACATGAGCAAACCTAAGGATGCCCTACACTACTTATGTTCTGCATTCTGGGCCAATGTAGATTCCGGGCGACCTTCAAGGGCAGTCCCATATAGAGCACACTGCAGCACTCCAAGAAGTGCTCAATCTCCTTGAACTGTCAGGTGGGTGGCATGATAAATGTAATAAAGTGATCAAGAACTGATTGTGAACTAGGCCTCTCCATCCTAAAAAAGGATGCAATTGACACACATTACAAATCTCCAGACACATCATCCACCAGACATATCATCAGATGGGCCACCCAAAGCCACCCTGTTTTGTAAAAATAATAAAGGTGGGATACAAATAAATAATCTTATCAGGGTTGAGTTGAAGTCAGTCCTTCCACATTCAAAACCTCATAGCCTCTAGGCACTTGGTTAGCACTTCAACAGCATCACCAGGCTAGCCCAGGGTGGAAATATATAATGGGATGTCGTCAGCATACTGATAATACTGCACCCCATGTATGGGTGACCTCATTCAGCAGTTTAATGTAAATGTTAAAGAGGAGAAATGTGAGACCAGAGTCCTGAGCATCCCTCAGTGCAGGGCATAAGGCATGACCTCTCCCTATCACCACCACTGACTGGAACTGATCATGAAGAAAGGAGAGAAACCACTGCAAAACAGTGTTTTTCACTCCCAACACCCAAAACTTTGGATAACAAGATGGGCAGCATATAAATTTAATTAATTAATCTGGTCTAGAAAGTTACTGTACCCCAACTGATGTTATCGGAAGCTGCTGAGAGACCCAGGAGAGAGAGGTCAGTTGCCTCACCTGTCCCAAGCCCAAAGATACCATCTTCAAATGCACCAAACTTGATTGCAGGAAATACTTCAGCAACAGAGTGGTCAATCTCTGGAATACTCTACCTGACTCTGGTTTCTTCCCCAAACCCCAAAAACTTTAACCTTAGACTGTCTACTATTGACCTCACCCCTTTCCTAAGAGGTCTGTAGGGGGTGTGCATAAGTGCACCAACGTGCCTACTGTCCCTGTCCTATTGTTTCTTTTATTTTTCTTATATGTACCCATTTCATGTATTCATAACTATATATTTATACCTATTATCTTATAAGCGATTGACAAATCTAAAATAAATAAAAACAAATGCCACCTTACTATACATCAGTCTGGACCTCAATTGAACTCGGGGTCCAAATAATTGGTTCCATCCAGGGCCCTTTGAAATGGGAGTGCCAACTCACATGCATATGTAATCAAGAGGATTTCTGTGCTTGCATCAGAGACAACTCACGAATGGCTCAGATTGTGATGGTTTCAGGGTTACACACAGATAAGTCAATAGAGATTTGTTAGTTTTGTCAACTTTAGATTTATTAATGTTACAAGCCCTCAGACAGTAGTAGAAATATCTCTGCTTAACTCTGACGCAGCTGTTTAGTACTCAACCAGGTCTGAAGAACCCTTTCAATATTGCAATCATTTCCAAAGTGACTGATGGTAAGGGACACTCAAAAGTTGTAACTCAGAAATGTCTAGAGCAGCACAGGTTCTCACCATTGTCTTACACAAAGGCAGCTGCAAATTTAACTGAAGTATTGTTCTAAAAATGAATGGTAGTACACAAAAGAGTGCTCAATAGGTTTTACTCCATTAACTGAGAAGAATCTGTGCAGACTGTAAACATAGTAGAGGATAGATAAGGCTGCATCCAGATAGTATTTGTCCTGGCAAGTCAGAAGCCACACGAGTAGTAAGCCAATAGGTATGGGTTAAAAGGCTTTATAAAATTTATCAGAAACTCTGAAATATAAATTGCAAACATTTTAAAACAAAAGAAAGAAATTACTCTAAAACAAGGGGAAGTTATAGTACTTGATGGTTCATGATAGTAGAAACTAAGCACATGACTTCACATACATTAATGGCCATAGTGAAAAATCTCAATTTTGAAATGACCTGGATATTAAAGTAAGAGAGATGCTGAATTATTTAGCTGCAGCAGCAAGATGTACAAATACAAACCAATTTGAATACAAGGGATGCCAGACTTGGATACCAGACTTCTCTGTACCAAAATCAGCAGACTAATATTAAATGGTTCCCTGAAGTTTCATAAAAAGAACCTAAACTACTGTTTTAATAAGTGTTAGTTTTAAAAGCCAGGCTTCCAAGATGAAACATAGGAAATATAGTTGTATAGAAATGAGGACAACAGCTACACAGGACTGCTTAAGAAAGAACACAGCAAAAAGTGAACTCTGCAATGCTAACAGAAGCAATTCATTTCAATTGCACACATGCTTATAAATGGGTTTCATCCATTGAGTTTGCCTGCTACTCAACTATGTTAAAACAAGAATAACAAAATAGGTATTTGTTTTCAATGCTATACAACAGGACAGTTGAGCAATGCAAATCAAACATTCTCAGATTCCTTTCTTCGCAAGTATGTCACAAGAAGGACTTCTCTTGTACAGCCTTGTGTATTATGCCTATTTTAGGGTGCACAGTACAGCTAGTCAATCTCATAACACAAAAATTGTTATGGAATGATCTTCAGGACACATACAAAGGCTCAGGAGCCACCGCGCACCTTTCTACAGCAAGAGGAGAGATAAAGCTATAAGGATAGATATAAAAATTATTGGAAAAAAGGGAAATCAAATGCAAACTTAAGAGAGTAGACAATGTGCGGTTACACAAATTAGTACATCTCCAGGCCAGGATAGTTGGTAGGACTTACTAGTGGAGTTGCAGCTGATTAAAACAAATCAAATAAAACCAAGGCAGGAACATACACTATGTATTTTAGGTATCATATCTGTCCAAAAAAGTTTGGAGGAAGATTAATTGGGCACACAGATAGTACAACACATGTTTCTAATACAGGCGCAATTAAAATAGTTTAAAAATGTCAGCAAAAGAGCAAGAGACACACATTTGCCATCTCTGAAAGAATACTTTTAGTCTATTCATTTAATGATTTATCCATTAGTGACATCATGAACAAACTATACCCATATCTATAAAATAAAATACATGGATGAAGCACACTTTCCCCCAAAGACATTTCTTTTTAAAATTTGTTTTAAAAAATGACAAACATTTCCATTAGCAAACGTTACTGCTAAACATTTTCATCCTTAAACTTTGTGCAGTAAAAAACCTCTTTTTTTGTGAAACTGTTATATATTGCATATTTGCACTGGATGGAGTCTTCTTCAGGAACAAGTTGTAAGTAAACAGATGACTCTGTCTTGGCTCAGGAGATACAGATAGCTGTGCAAAACAAAAGAAAGTAACTGAGTACTATTGAACTATTACACACCAGCATATACTACACTGCTCAAAAAAATAAAGGGAACACGAAAATAAGACATTCTAGTTCTGAATGAATGAAATATTCTTATTAAATACTTTGTTCATTACATAGTTGAATGTGCTGACAACAAAATCACACAAAAATTATCAATGGAAATCAAATTTAGCAACCCATGGAGATCTGGATTTGGAGTTACACTCAAAATTAAAGTGGAAAAAAAACACTACAGGCTGATCCAACTTTGATGTAATGTCCTTAAAACAAGTCAAAATGAGGCTCAGTAGTGTGTGTGGCCTCCACGTGCC